TGGAGATAAGGCAAAGTGTAGAGAATATTAGTATACCATTGGGTTGGGCCAGATTCAAGAGGACTACTCTTAAAATATGATGGACCATGTGTGGTCAAATGATGGCGTTGTCCAGTGTACACTGTAAAGAGAGGTGATAAATGCAAAAACGTAAAGACCAGTCTACCTTAAAGGTGGATAAAAGAATATCAGGAAAAGAAGCCTGGAAGGCAACCAGACGTAAAACCTTGAGGTGATGGACGTGGCTTCAGAAACGACTTCATGATAGCAGGTGAACGGCGAATGTAGTGTGCGTCACTTATAAATTGATGTAAGTAATAAATCGAATAACTTCCTCTGAGAAACAAATGGTTATTCGTTTATCGGTGGAAAAGCCACCGTAGAAATGTGAAATAATAACGCTGAGGAAGACGTAATAAATAACAGAAAACAGGGAACAAAACATGCCCAGTAGAGAACAATTTATATTACCTGCAGACTGTCAAAACAATGTAAGGTTTACGATTTTCTTAATGTTCAACGTTCTTTGATCCAGTACACGCTTGTCCTCTTTCGTATTTTTTCAACTATGATCAGAAGCGACGACCAATCTGATGTAAACCATCTGATATTCTTAGTAATGACAAGAGTGTAGCGTCTCACAAAAACGAGAGAAATCTAAGAAACACAAATATAACCCGAGTTGTTTAACTTTATCAAGCAGTTGTCCAAGGAAGATTATGGAAAGCGAAACCTTTCTAAGGAAGATGAAGTTTTGATAACTCTTTAGCAATTGTGACTAGATGGTTTAGATGAGTAATTCAGCTAACCATTCAATCCCACTTTCAATCATCTATCGTTTGCTTTTGTCGTACTGGTGAAGTGTCTCAAACTAGAGTGAAACAGATTTCCATCCCTTACTGACACCATTTCGTGACAAAATTGCCATTTAAATAGCTAAAAGGCATCTGTTGTTTGAATCGGTTCTATATGAAGTGATTTCATATTTCAACTTTGTGAATTTTCGGTAAACGACATCTCAGTGGTTCAGAGAACTTTATAACATAGTTTTATCACTTGCAATCTATTCTGTTCAATTTGTAATACACAGGCTTAATAGTATAAGTTGACAGTTTTATGTGAAAATATAAATGTCTTTAGCTAAAGCAAGTGCTGAATTACAACTGTCACTGTTTTTCCCAGTTGATTTATGGATACATAAAAAAGAAACTTGAAACTTTTTTGTATGCGACCTTTAACAATGGTAACAGACATATATTACTAGTAGATGAGAACTAATGATTACTTACATTTTCGTCTCTATACTCACTTTTTCTCGATAAAACGAAAATTTCATCATATCTACAAAGTGTAGTAAAAGCAACCAATTTATGAATATGGACCATGATGGTGTCCTGGTTTCACTTCGTATTATTGCATGGCCTGGTGTTTTCGGTATTCTCAACAGTTTGAATAAAGCAATAAGAAGACGTAATTTGTCTGAATCGTGTAATGTATTTGCGCAACACATTTCGAACTATCTGATCTCACTCCACGGACTTGTCATAGGAATATATATGAAATCAATAAAGAGTTAAGAGGTGAGAAAATAGACTTAGGTTAAGTTAAAAGGACATATTGGAGGTCAAAATAACAATGAAGACCACTAAACCACTAAAACCTTTGATCCAAACAGTTGACATTTTGTGTGATTACATTTCCACAAACAATTTTTTCATCCCGTCCCCTATATCTTATTTAAGGGATTTATTAGTTTTATGTACTAACCATGTTAGGTTTACATTTGAAGGCGATTGTTTCCGCCAAATTGATGGTGTTGCTATGGGAAGTCCGTTATAGGGCCCCTTTTAGCAGATATCTATATGTCGTACATTGAGAATTTATCGGAGGTTTTAATCGAAAATGTGCCACTTTATAGAAGGTATGTAGATGATATTGCAATCACCAATGATAAGTCTCGTTCTGCCACCTCAATTTTAAATCGAACGAATGAAGTTCAGAACAGCATATCACTTACATCTGTTGAAGAGGAAGATAATTGTCTATCTTTCCTAGACATATTGCTTAGTCGACGGCTTGATGATTCAATAAAAAGATCTCTTTATAGACAACCTACCTGGACAGGACAGAATCTTAATTACCACAGTTTCTGCCTTGTTCTGTACAAAAGAGACTTAGTAAAGTGCCTTTTCAGTAGAATCCAAGGAATATGCACTAAAGACACACTTGATGAAGAAGAAAGAAAGTTGACAGAAACTCTGGTTGATAACAATTATCCAGACAAGTTCATCAGGAGATACAAAGTAGTCAGAACACCAAGACTCACTCTACAACTCGCCCCTAAGAAAGACGTGTACATCAAGCTACCCTATATTGGGCATCATAGCAGCTTGATAACTAGACAAATACTGAACGCTGCTGTTAAAAAGACTTTTTATGCAGCTAATATTTTAATAATAGAGAATGTGAAGCCAATATATCTATCTAAGCCCTTCGAACATGCGGAAAATGACGTCGAATCCCACTGTATTTACCAATTTGAATGTACGTGTGGACACATACATAGGGAGGACTCATCGATCTCTGCAAGTAAGGGCTTCAGAGCATATTCCTAAATGGCTCCAGAAACAAATGGAATCTTCAGAACCCATTAATGGTGAGAACAGGAGATCTCGCTCTTCTAATGCGAAACATATTATAGAGACAGGACATAAAATTGACGTTAACACACCTTTTAAACCTATCTATAAAACGTGTTTGGGGCGTATCCTAAAGTTTGCAGAAGCCCTAGCTGGCAATTTGAAAGTTTAAACCACCTTTATGCGTTCAAAAACACTTCGTTATCACATTAAACTTTCCTTGCTAAATTTTGTTTTGATACCATAGCAGATGTACTATTGTAACAACAGAAGGCAAGAGTCAGGCAACAGATCATTTATTAAGGAAATCAAAGCATATTTATATATTTCCATGTACATTACTATAGATATTTAAGCAAATAAACACAGTCTTCCGATTGGTTGTTTCTCACGTAAAGTTAATCTTTCATCTATTTGTGACTGTTTCTTGAATGTCAAATCCTCTATATGTTAACTGCATCCGCCTACGCAAAGTCAATCTTTGTTCACATTTTCTCACGACAAATCTTGGGAACATAAATATTGACGTAAATTACTGTCTACCAATTTGGCTAGTAGACAGCTCTCACCACACTATTGCCTCTGTTATTTAGTTTAGTGGTCTTCGTTGTTATTTTGACCTTCAATATGTCCTTTTAACTTGACCTAAGTCTATTTTCTCACCTCTTAACTCTTTATTGATTTCATATATATTCCTATGACAAGTCCGTGGAGTGTGATCAGATTGTTCGAAATGTGTTGCGCAAATACATTACACGATTCAGACAAATTACGTCTTCTTATTGCTTTATCTAAATTCATAAAGGGAACTAATTGTTTTAAAGTTTGAATAAAACAAAGTTACCCAACTTACTGTATTACTGAAGTATTCTATTCTTTTAATGAATCATGAGATAATAATGCTTAAATCTCTCTTCTTTGTCGTGTTACATTAATTACAGTAATAATCCTATGGGATCATTGGTGTTCATTATTTTTATTATTTTATCCCTGTGCCGAGTGTAACATTGACCTTCAAGCGAAAGCCATGAATTGAAATCAAAAATGTTTTAAAAATGTCAAGTGTTGTCTAAAAATTTTAAAAAATTAGGAGTACGATTACGATAAGAGTGAAGATGTGAAGTGAAGTGGAAAGAATTCAGGTGGTAAAATAAAACAAAGTAAAAACTAGAAATAACATTACCATGACCAAAGTAAAGAAAGGGGTTTGACAAAACGTTTTTGAACACATAATTTAGGTTTCTGTTCATGTATAGCTAAAACTTCGGCTATGCATAAGTGAAGAAAACGTAAACTTTTGGATCGATTCGATTTTGCCATGTAGATAACTTTGAAAGATGAATCACGTGGGGCTAAATGACCTGACTCTAACAGGTGATCACAGATAGACGACTTCGCAGTTCTACGTTCTCCTTTCATTAACCAGATTGGATAGTGTTCAGCTACACGTTTTCGGAGATTACGCTTACAACTTCCAATATAAGCAGCTCCACAAGAGCAGGTAAAAGAGTAAATACACATAGATGTGGACAAAAGCGGTAATCTCTCCTTGACGCATTGTCTAATCATATTACGGTTGGCAAAAACTAGTTGCAAGTCAGCTGCAGGAAAAGTACGTTTAATACATTTAGATAAACGATTGTAATTTATCCACTTCAACTCTACCCCTTATAACATTTTAATTATCGTTATTCTTATCACATATATGTACATTGACTGAGCAATTATTTAGTGCCACTTAATGACCTTTTCTGTAATATAAATACGACTGTACAGCTTGAAAATGAAGTCGTTGAAAAGAAATTTCTTCGCAGAATGAATAAATGGGTATTTTTCGTGATTTTAAAGCCATAAAGTTTCATCACTCTTGTTTAGTCCCACACCCAACCTTCTCTCTTTACCAAGCCTACTACCATATGAACCAGATTTATGGAGTAAGTCGGTCGGGGGTCGAAACCCAAACCACTTGCTGTGTGGCAGACGAGTATCCCACCACTGAACCACCTACGCATTAGCAACCTAAGGGGTGCCCGAGCCTCAGGTGTTCATTGGCAACTAGAAAGTACTAACAAAAAGCAAACGTAAACAAATACTTTTTCACATTCAAAGATATTCTGAATGTAAGTGTTAGTCAGGTGAACTACACTAATTTATAACTTTATGTCCCTTACGTTTCAATAGTTACACCTACATGTGAACCTTGAATTATTTCAAGGAGAACTTACACTACTTACATTTTATTTCAGTAACATAAATATTAAAAGAAAACTGTAAAGCGAAAATTTATTTGATTGCAAAAAGCAATACAAACTGTTCACACAATATTATTATTATTATATTTTCGCTTGTCAGCTAGATATACTAGCTCTTATCTCCCAGAATTCTTTTTCCCATATCTTTTATTCTAGCTTCAATAGCCTTTGCAGTATCTTCAGAATCCTGATAATATTGAAAAAATCAAATAAAAATATGATAAAGGCTTGAATCAGTTATAACCAACATTTTATCACTAAAGGTCTTTGTGACAGAAAGTTGTGCTCGAGTCTGCATAAATTCGTTTACATATACATAAATATGATATATTAGTCAAATGATTTATATGTTTTACTATACCAAACTACAGTATAGTGAACTATACCCTTTGGTTACATGTGTGTAGTTGATATAGTTTATGTGTAAGAAGACTAGCACACTTCATTAATACAACTGCCGCTCCTGTTGATGAGCATGAAAGTAGCAAGAATAAAACATTAGATAGAATGACTTAATATTGTGGTGAGAGCTGTCTGCTAGCCAAATTGGTAGACAGTAATTTACGTCAATGTTTACGTTCTCAAGATTTGTCGTGAGAAAATATGAACAAGACTGATTCAAAAACCGACCACAGCAGACTTTGCGTAGGCGGATACAGTTAACATATAGATGATCTGACATTCAAGAAACAGTCACAAAGAGATGAAAGATTAACTTTAAGTGAGAAACACCCAATCAGAAGACTGTGTTTGTTTGCTTCCAATAATCTATAATAATGTACATGAAAATATATAAATATGCTTTGATTTCCTTAATAAACGATCTGTTGTCTGGCCCTTGTCTCCTGTTGTTACAATAATACCTTATTCCGTTTATTCTTCACCACCACATACAACTAAAATCAATTTTATTACCAATTTAAAAAGTTATCACATACTTTAATTGATTAGTTGGGAGATGGCAACCATTGATTTTCTTTTATTACTTTACGTTCCCAGTGGAAATTAGGGATTCAAGATAGAGCTTTGCAGTTTCGGTAGGAGTGGTATTTATTTTTACGGGATGGGGTTGCTAGCTTCATGCCCAACCTTCCCTCTCTTCCTGTTTTATTAATGGCTTAGCAGGGTACAGGAGTGCGTTGGCCGAGCATCGAACTCCGAACCACCTGCGTGGTGCGCGAACATTCTACCACTGTGCTACTGACACGTACCCATTAATATTATGTAACTGAATCAATTCGAAAATTCGTAACTTATCATTATTACTCAGTATGTAGTGCATAATATTTTGCATACGTAAGTAATGTCCAACTTCCGCTACTGACTCTAGAATATACTTCTAACTGTTCTACATATGCCGACAAGCTTACTGATACCTGTAGTTCTCTTCTTCTAACTTTTTGTGTATTCAGTTAAGTAGTATTATTGATTGGCATCCCCTAGATAATAAATTAAAGTATGTAAAAGTTTGGAAATTATAAGTGAAATTATTTTAGACTGTATGTAGTTGAGAAGAACAGACGAAATATAATTATATCATGTTATCCTATTCAATTTGTTGTTATTTTGCTTTGTTCATTTAATACTATCTTAGTGAACTGTTCTGACTGTGGCAGACCGAGATACGAGTATTTGATATGGTTTGTAATGGACAACTGTTATTTCTTTTTTCCACTAACAAATTGTAACACATGTATCGACTGATGGGGATATACTGACCTATCTACCGTTCTGACACTCAGAAATATTAATATTGAAGTAAGTAATGAATAGGTAGAGTTTAGTGAATGGAAGATATTCGAGTAAAAGTAATAATAAGATTAGGTATAATTGAATAACCCACGAAAATTAGCGATACAGCTATGCACTGATAATGATTCTCAAAATATATGAAGAGCGAGAAATGTACTTACCCCGTTTAATATAGTTGTTGTTACATAGACTGCATATACGAAATTAATAGTTCCATAAATGACTTAGACCAAATTTATAGACAACATAGGATCTAGCTCCAACCTACAACTCTGATTTTTGTGGAATATCTTGCCAAAAAATTGCAAAAAACTATTACAACTATTTGCCTTTGAAACACTGAATGTTAGGATATAATATTGTATATCGATAATAAATATTACTATCTATTTGCAACTCTGTACTTGTTTAACACTAACTAATACCTATAATTGTATATATTGATGGATATACATGTTCAAGCTGGCTCAAGTCAGTGAGTCTATGATTTTGGTATCATTTCGGTTAACTGTATTTGACTGTGATATTATTATTGTTGTTGTCGCTTGTTACCTGTGCTGGTGTTGTTCTGATTGTTTTATTCCTTGTTTTCCTGGTTTTAAGGGGAGCAGCCCACAAGGTCGCTTCTCTCTAAATTATGTTTTAATGTAACAACCCACCCTATCAGGCGTGAGGCTAGCAACCCCACCCTGTAAACAAACCTGCTACAGAAACTTCAACACAATGAATCTCCTTGCGCCAAAAGAAAAAGTCTGTGTGGGGACATGGAATGTCTGCACCATATAAGAGATTGGCAAAGCTGCCCAGATCGCAAACGAAATGAAAAGATATATAATTCAAGTACTGGGGATATGTGAAAGCAGATGGAACGGGAATGGACTCACTAAATCGCCAACGGGTGAGTCAGTGATCTACTCCGGTCACCCAGAAGATAACCACTCGCACATCGAGGGCGTGGCTATCATAATTTCACCAACGGCAACGAAGGCCCTGATGCAATGGGAGGCGATCTCGCCCAGAATAATGACCTCCAGATTCAACTCCAAAGGAAGGAAAGTGTCAGTTATACAATGCTATGCACCGAAAAACAACGCAGACCTCGAAAAGAAAGAATAATTCTACAGACAACTAAAGGAAACAATGGACAATACTCCAGCTGGTGACATTAAAATACTAATGGGAGACATGAACGCCAAACTGGGACCAGACAACACGGGAAGGGAACTCATCATGGGTAGAGAAGCTCTCGGAGATATGAATGAAAATGGAGAACTCTTCGCCGACTTCTGCGCCTCCAATGAATTAGTGATTGGTGGCAGCGTATACAAACACAAGGATATCCACAAGGCTACATGAGTGTCACCAGATAGGCGAATCAAAAACCAAACTGACTTCATCTCAATCTCAAGTAATTGGAGGCATAGCCTGCTGGACACGAAAGTAAGAAGAGGAGCAGACATTGGCTCAGACCACTATCTCGTACAAGGGACAATCCAAATCAAACTAAAAGCTTTCAGAGAAACCGGAGCTGCAGATAGACCGCAAGCCAAGTTCAACACTCAAAAACTGAAGGACCAGGACACAAAGGAAATCTTCACTGCAAGCATAAAGGACAAAGCCGAGACACAAATCAACACTAGCGAAGAGGTCAGCGTCGAAAAGCACTGGAACGACTTGAAGACAGTGTGGAGTCAAACCTGCATGGAAGTTCTAGGCAGAAAGAAGGGACAGGACAAACAGTGGCTCATTACGGACACTTGGAGACTGATAGAAGAGAGAGGGATGGTGAAACAAAAGATTCTCCAGTGCACCGACGAGCAACAAAAACAGGACTTGAATGCAAATTACAAGACACTGAACAAAAGAGTAAGGAAGAGTGCCAGGGAAGACAAAAGAAAGTATTATGAGGCCATGGCAAGTGAAGCAGAACAAGCTGCAGGCAAAGGAGACCTCGCAACACTCTACCAAACAACTAGGTACCTATCGGGCAAACGTTTGACACAAATCAAGCCGGTGAAGGATGACAATGGAAAGTCACTCACCAAAGAAGTGGAGCAAAGGAAACACTGGGCTGAACACTTCAAAAGACTCCTAAATCGACCACCACCTACAACGCACCCAATAATACCAACGACGGATACAGAGCTACCAGTGAACACCAACCCCCCGACGAAATCAGAAGTCCTGAGAGCAATCAATATGCTTAAAGTTGGAAAAGCAGCAGGATCAGATGGAATCCCAGCAGAAGCATTAAAAATGGACCCAGAGACAACAGCGGACTTGATGACGCCACTACTGGAGAAGGTGTGGAAAGAAGGCAAAGTACCTGAGGATTGGAAGAAAGAGTACTTATTCAAACTACCAAAGAAAGAAGACCTAAGTCAATGCAACAACTGGCGCGGAATTATGCTCCTGTCCATCCCAAGCAAAATACTAAGCCGCATCATCCTGGAGAAACTTACGGAATCCTTCGAAATGAGGACAGGAGTAAGACAAGGCTGCCTACTATCGCCAATGATTTTCCTGATTGCAGTAGATTGGGCGTGTCTAGTGGTAGAATTCACGGCGCATTTGAAGCAATTGATAGTGGGTTGGGGACTCAATGGAATATCAACACTCATAAGGAGCAAGCATGCTTAGCTGATGAGTTCCAAGTCGGGTGAAACGCGTGTTCTTCATTCTACTATGAAATACCACTAAACAAATAACCGTCATCTTTTGTGAAAATAGGAAATTTTGAATTAGTTGCATTTTATAGTGTATCTAGTCTTAATGAAAGTACGAACAGATTTTCTTCCAACATTTTAAACTGCTCACGGTATCCTTTTCACAGGCAATTTGTATAAGTAAATATCTGTAATAGCTAGAGGAGATTACAGTTAAAGAGCTCGTGGAACATGCAGATATTTCAGTGTTCATATTAATCACTAGTCTCTCATAATCTCAGTCTATTTGTTGACCTTTATGATTCCAGTATAACTATTGCTACAATATGATGGGAGAATTAAACCGGTTACCTGATTTACCATAATTTAACTTAGCAAATCAAAACAGTCAACAAATCAATTCTGGTGTATATTATTACATCTAACCATTCAGAATCTGAAGAGACTTCATTTGATCAAGTTATTATATATGAAGTACGACTAAGCTGTTCGAAAGGATTTCGCTTACATCTTTTCCATGCAGCTATAAGGAAAAAACTGAAATTTGTTTCTGGATAGGGTTATCCAGTCTCCATTACTACCGTGACATCAGTGTCAATTTCCCTTTCTTAACATGTTGTCTAATAAACTATTCGAAGTCATTTAGTTTCTTCTTCTCCTTATTATTATTATTTTTGTCACCCGTTATCGATCCTTTGATCTCTTGTTATCTGTCAATTGTTTTTAAGTCAATATTCACCACTTAACAAATTAGTTATCAGCCCTCTTGATTACGTAACATCGTTCACTACTTTTTAGACAGACTGCTTTCATCCACTTCGATTTATTTTGTTAACCTCTGACTTTCCTTATCAAATAATAACGGTGTATGAATAAATCCCAAAATAAATGTATAGCTTTGAAGTGAAGTTACAAAACAAGATGTCTGCCCATATTATGTGACCTTATTCAATTTTTTAATTAGTGAACTGTATGAAATTTTACAAAAAATATTTTCGGCATTAGTCATCAATAAAAAGTTGTTTGTGAGTTATTGTCAGTCAATAACAAAATAAACTAAAGTGTATGAAAAGCAGTCTGTCTAAAAGGTAGTGAGTGATCTTACGTAATCGAGAGGGCTGATAGCTAAATGGTTAGGTGAACAGTATTCACTTATTCACCTTTTGTTATCAACATTTATGGATTATAGGTATTCACAACTCAAGGCACTAGTTGTTTTTTATGACATTTTTGCAAGTTCAAGGGAAACTATATGGGTCAACATTTTATTAACTAAATAATTCATTTACTTCGCCTTTCCCATAGTTGATTACTAATCAAAAGCAAAGAAGACTGATGTCATGGTTAGTAATGAAGACTAATTAATTCTGCATAATATCTAAGTTGGGCTTTTATAACAACTTTCGATGTGTTAGTTTTATGGTACTTTAAGTGTAATATAAAGAAACCGATAGATAAACATAGGTGAACTATTAGTTAACATTATTCTAATAAACTGATGGAAACATGTTCACGGTGAAGATAAACAGCTGCAACATACATACTAGCCTTCGACTTCGTGTGACACAAGACATCTGTCATCTGCAAAATCCAGATCTTCTAGAGTCTTCTTATCAGCCGTCCAGCGTATTCCTGTCTCCTCTCTACCCACAGTCTGACGCATAATCCAATTCACCACAATTAAGAATATCATCGGTGATAATAGGCAGCCTTGTCTTAATCCTGTATTCATTTAAAACGACTCGCTGAGTTTTCCGTTGTGGATCACCTGACAACACATGCCGCTGTCATATAGCTGTTGAATGAGGTTGATAAAGACTTGAGGTACACCGTAGTGTTGTAGTAGTTTCCAAATTACTTCTCTATCAACTTTGTTTGTAGAAGGCCTTTTCGAAGCCGACGAAGTTGATGTAGAGTTTTGACTGCCATTCTATGATTTGTTCTGTGATGTTGCGTATAGCTGCAGTTTGATCGGCACATGATTTGCCTTTCCTGAATCCAGCTTGTTCTGCGCTGGCGGAGTTCTGTATCCAGTGCATCCTTTATTCTCTCCAGGATGATGCGACTTATTATTTTACTTAGTTTGGACAAGAGCATTATTCCACGCTAGTTCTTACAGATGACTGATTCGCCCTTCTTTCGCGGCTTAAGGAGGTAGGCTATCTTCCATTGGGGCTATTCTAATATAATAGAATAACTGTGTCCTTATAGTAGCTGACTCATCATTCAATGTATTTAGAATAACTTATGAGTATGCCTTAAACTATCAGTCGTAAATCGGCTGTGAAAATATCACACAGATGGAAATCGAGACTCCATACCAAATAAATCCAAAGCTTGGAGGGCAACAAAATTCTCAGTAAGTGAACTGTCAATGGACGTGAACATTGAACGTTTGTTTTATTGGGTCTGGCAGCCATTAATGGGCAACTGAAAGGCGCGAATGGTCGATCGCTTGCAAGTTGAAGGAAGACTGGAGTTAAATACGAATAAAAGTACTTTATAACTTCATTTGTACTTAACATTTGTTTGTAGACTCTGTAGTTTTCTTCACTTTAATTGCCAAACAATATAATTTCGTTCAAGGAATACTGGTGTTTTGGATTTAAAGTTGAAGAACGTACATAGTATTTATCGGTTCAATCGCTTAAGTCTTCATTACAATAGGAACTTAGGGCTAAGTTCCTTGACATGAACTACAAATATTTTCCAGGGAATCGGAGTTCATCCTTCTTTTTGTATTCCACTTTCATTCTTCACTGCTTATGCAATCTCATCTTTTGCTGTATCATTGTGATACTATACTTTAGAATACAATTTTAAGGCCACCAGGGAATCAAGTTACTAAGTCTTCGGCATGACGCTAGTAGAAGAAATGAATAAGAAAGTCGAGTCAAATAAAGTTCATCAGATTAAACCCTTGCTAGGTAAGTTCTCTGATGGTAAGTCACCTATCTTTGTGACTTTACTGCAAACTTGACTGATAAAATTCACTCTGTACTACCACCAGTGACTAGAGCCACGACATTCGCCACTCCCTAGTGACCAATCAGTGTAGAGCTCTTTATTCTTGAAAGAATTTTCGGAGACCCCTGTTGCCCTGAACAAAATATGTGGTGTAACTGCAACAGAATGTGAACTTCCCTGTGATAATATTCGGTTTTATCAAACAATAGTTAGTCCAGTCGATATTCTTCTTCCAGTTTAATTAGCCCTGTTACTTATTATCCAAGTAACTGTTAGTTTCATTTAACTGTGTCATTTTGACAACAGAAGTTATGGACTACGTATGCTATAATTAGTGATTTTATTCGAAGTTATAGCTGCTATATGTTTCAATTTACGGGGAATCAAATTAGAGTGAACTTATAAATTTCTAAACATTCGTTACTTATATTAAACTGTTGAAGCAACATCGCATTAAATACAAATAAAGTATTTTGCTTCGACAAATTTGTATGGTAAATTGTAGAATAGTAAATATGCAATTAAATGACTCACCTTTATCTCTGTTACATCGTCAGACTTGTTAGAAGTTGTATCTGGCTCTGTATTATCCGTTTGTTTCATGTCATATTTTGGAACATGAAGCATTAAACTGGATGGACCTGGACTGCACATAGGACTTGCTGGTGGTGACGCTTCACCCTGTATATTATAACTACTGTTAGCCGGTTTATGTTTGGGGGTTAAGGCTACAGGTGCTGATGTCCAGTGCTCTGGAGGTGTGTTCAAGCAACTCTGGTGTAAAGAAAAGAATGTTGTGCATCAGATCCACTGAAGTTGAATATGAAAACCAGATCAGATGACTAATATTGAGCTTATACAGCGTCGAAACTAGACATGTAGTGTACAATGAACACTTTTTAAAATCACATCTGCATACTGAAATTTGAGAACATTTAATATTTAGATCATGACGTGAAGTAACTCCAGTTTATTAATAAAAATATATTCAGTCGCATAACACTGATAAATAATATATACTATCGGAATACTCCTGGAGAAAACATTAGAAAACAAATTGCTCATCATCAAATCACACTTATTGTGAAGTTGGCATTCAACGGTGATACCACTGCCAAGATGCTTTAAAGAAGTCTGTTTAAGCTCATAAGGCGGACTTTTTGTGTCTCTGACTCCCGCCTCATATAGCCGAGCCGGAGTATGATTTGGTAATGCACGAATGATAAACTATCGTTTTCGCCCGCCTCTATATCCATCCAATATATCACATATACTCCTATGGAGCTTGACATATTAGGCGTTGTGAACGAGCTCATCAGAATTCTACAGCTGAACATTATGCAGTTTGTTTGACAAAAGGCTGAATATAAAACGGCAGTGTCTTCTACTTGAGGGCAACTTGATTCAGGTCATTTATCCCTATGAGAATTATTTTTTAAAGTCGTTTGTTTATGAGACCAAATGCAACCATCCTAAATATCTGCATTGTAATCACCAGTTAATAACTAAAGCAGTAGCCGTATGTCTAAAAAACCTAAACTAGGTGGTCAAAAACTATCTGTAGAACCCAATTCGTCAACTTGTTCCTGACAATGTTTTCCGTTGTTGTTTTCATTCCACCTTACTCAATCATCTCTTTCATTGCTGATACCATTTTGTATTAATGTGGATTTTTCCAATTTTTCGACAGTACTCGACCCATATTTAACCTTTTAATTTCAATTCACTTCAACAACTTTGTGTAATTCTGTAATTCATTCACTTCAACCGTGATCAACACCCCCACCCATCGTAACAAGCTTGCTAATTACTTTTCTGTCATATGTATGCTTAATGAGGAACTTTTACTAACACTGAAAGCCTCTCACTTATTATAAATACAGCAAGCAATACAGCTAGGAAGTGGAATCACTGAAAATGAAAATTTCTTCGCTAAGTGAATCCTATTTTTTCTTCATTCATGAATTCATGGGTAAATTTCATCATTATTCATGTTATGACCAAAGATGAACTAAAATATTTAATTTCTATAATTTTGTTTTTAAAATGTGTACATCGTTTACTTACATGATGGGTCTTCATAAAAGTCTTAGTTTTTTGAAGAAGATTTGGACTTTCTTCACTTTCTAAACCAGAAACGTGCCGTTTCTTGCCTGTTCTTCTTCTCTTTTTCGAAATACCTTCACACTTATTCAATGAATATTCGCTAATAATAACAGCAGAAATAAATAATGCAAAGTGTAAATTATACAAGCATAAAGACTATAGGATAGGTACGCTTAATTCAGGAACTTTTAAAATAATTAGGTAGCAGAAATGGTTAAGGATTGTTAAAACAAATATTATACGGTGGTGTTCAGTGGTTTCTAAAATAAGAATGTTGTGTTGATAGGTATTCAAGTTTCTGAAACAAACTTTGTAGAGAAGCAATTATTTAAAAGAAACTCTCTTCAACCAGCATTTCCACTTTCAAGTAATTCTAAATTATCCAATCTCCAAAAAGCATTTAGGAATATGCGTTATCTGAAGGTAATTACACTAACTTAAATGGGAGAATAAAAGAAAAATGATTCTTTTTGTTGAAATTATTAGCAATTGGCAAGAAGCTGTGAACGTATTCTTCGATGAAATTTGAGTTTTCTGACAGTCAAACCAATATCATTAATTGCCATGATCAACAACTTTACTGCAGTTCTATTCAGGCTCCCACACTGTACCACAGTGATGTTTTCGAATCAAAGTAAACGTAGAAGTACTTAGTGGTGTTTACGAAGAATCATGTGTAACTGAAAGTACAGTAATATATTGAATTTCCACACCTAACTGTTGAAAAATCATGAAGGCTGACATTAATCACTCCGTAGTCAATATTGTCCTTGAATTTAGGTATTTTCGTGTTTTAAATTGCGTTTATATGTTCTTAAAAAAATGAACTCAATCAAATGTGTAGAATTGTGTAAAATAGATATATTAAATGCATGAGTAAGTTCTACAATATTCCACCATCAAAACTCAGCATTTATTAAGTTATAAAATAAGTTAATTTGAATGTATTCCATGAAACGAAACGTCCCATGAATCAATGATACTCACATAACAAGAAAACTGTAAGTACATAGGGTGAAATTAAGTTGTTAATGCCCTGTTTTCGCCCATACAGAAGAATTGACAGGTATCTTAAGCACAAATTTTGCCAGTGACTCGGGCATTAGAGTTTCATTAGCAATGGTGTTGATTTTACAAGGTGAGGCTAGCAGCCTCACGCTTGACCTTCAACCTCTTCTGGGCTTACTACTGGCTACGTGAGGTTTTAGGAGTACTTTGGCTGGGAACAGAACCTGACCCTCCCGTGCGTATGGTAATCAATCTACAACCAAATCACCAACTAACGATCAGCACATTTATGTGATGAAATTAAGCTGTAAAATTAGATTTATTTGAAAAAGCTACATCAGTGCTGATTTTTACTAGAAATTTACATCACACTGACAAAATTTATCGCCAATTTGTTTTTTTGTATGAGTAAAGCTATTAAGGATGCATCCTGTAAAAATAGACATCAGTGGACCTAATGCAAAACAGGTGAGAATAATTCAATATCAGTTTCATGGACCCATGTGTATTAGGCATTCAAAGACAAAACTTTCCGAGTGAACAGTATTCTTCAAACATTTTTCCAGAAAACGGGATAATTATTTATATTTCAAGTCTAATAGAGTATAAAAAAGTTAACTCAACTCTGCTGTCACAGGGGATAACTAATTCCAGTGTTTGACCGCAACCAATTATCTTTCATTCATATAGTTTTGCAGTGCTGCCACTAGTAGAAATGATCATAATTGAATTTAGCAGTCTAGAGATTGACTGGTTACTAGGGGACAGTTCTGTTGACCTATAATATGTGGAGGATGCAAAGTCTTCTGAACACCTTGAGTAGAAATCTTTGAATATTTGGTATGCGATTTTCTCCTCTCAAATATATGATGATGCTTCAGGATTGCAATGTGCCGACTTCTAGCCTAAAGATAGGTAGTAAGGTGGTACAGTGCACTGTCCATCTAGCTTATTTGGAAAGTTGCATCACTCCCGATGGACTAATTTCTGACGGAATATCAGCACCGATACATAAAGCTTGTTTGGTACTTGCCAACTCACATCATCTCACTTAGACGTGATACGAGGCTACAGATCAAAGGATGTGTTATTGCGCAGCATTTCGCTCCATCTCGCTTTATAGCCGTGAGACATGGTCATTGAAAGTGAAATATATGAAAAGGCTAGTCATCTTTGATCGCTGATATGTGCATTCTCTCTCCCGCATTAAATGGCATAATAATGTAAGTTATACTGAAGCGAGGCGTAGTGCTAGGTAATGAGGGTTCATAAAGTTGTGAAGCTTCATTAAATTGGATGCCTAGGGAATATGCTGTGCGTGCTGAGATATCGCCTTCCTCGGCAGGCCCCCTTATCTAATGTAGGTTTAGGTTGGAAAAGAGTTAGGGGCAGTCAAACCAAAACTCGACATCATTCCACACAGCCTTTGACAGTTGGTTCGAGCCATATGGGAGCTTTCGGCTTCTTCGTATGGATCCTCGTGATTCTAAGAACCAGTGGCTTAAGACTACCGGTGATAAGGTTGAAAATCGTACTTATTCGCGCAGATGCACTCACTAATTGTGATCTTCCACACCCAGTAAATCTCCCTTTTACTATTCTCTCTCCCCCCTCACACTTCAGCTTATTATAGTTCTCTTGTGCCGCACAGAGTGTGCCAGCTTGAACTGCTGCACTTTTATGTTGAGTTCTGTGCTGGAACCCAGCCCGCCAATCACACATGTCATTAACAGACAGATCATCTTTTGTATTTTCTATAAAAATTATGTTTGGCTTCATCCTCCTAATTTACAAGTTAACATTCACTTCATAGTAATTTCCTGATACTGATACAGGCTTCTCAGTCCGGAAGTTATAATACACTTTATATTTAAGCAGCATATTGTTGTCTTCTGTATCATTAAATTGTCTACAATATTTTCCAAAATTATGCGTCCCTTACTTTATTGTTTCAAATCCATAGATATTTGGAATCAAATTACTGGGGAAATCATTTTGGCGTGCTTCGGAGTCGAAACTAACTGAAACGTTGAATTAAACTGGCTTTATATCTCATGTGAGCAACATAAATTATTTAGCAATACGTTGTATCTAGACAACTACTGCAAAGGGGATCTACTTTATCTGCTGGAAATGACATCTGAAACTATTGTAAAATCAGAAACATTCCCAAAGTAAAACTTTAGCACTACAGTAGGTTTCTTGGACTAGATAGTATTAAAAGCAATTCAAGGTAGGCATTTCAAGTAAACAGAAAGTATACTTGTTCCCTGCGTCTACGAAACACGTGAAAAAGAGTATTTTATAAAATAAAGAAAACAGAAGTTCTTTAACTCACGAAATCTGTTTTAGAATCAAAGTCTAAAATTTTAAGCTCTAGTTAAATCAACATAAAGTTATTAAATCAGATGTAAAATCTATTCAGATCTAAAGCTAAGAGTTCTTCTCTTACCAAATTAGAAATTTTATCATTCATCCACATTGCTACTTATAGCATGTAATCTTTAGTGTCCATTGTATTCAAACTTAAGGGTGATGCTGATGCAAATAAAGTCTTTAAACTCGCCTTGACACTCAAAACGGTAAGTAAAGAAATATCAAAGAGGACCTCTGCCAAACATTGTCCACTTCAACAAAGTTTCAAAAAGAGAACTGAGGGCGAAATTCTGTCTAGTAGTCAGCAGCTAAAACTACGAGGAAACAGATGATGTGTTCATGCAGCAAACATGAGTTCGACTAGACTCTCCAAGGAAGTGAGTTCAGGTTATACCTGCATGACGTTCAAAGCTCAATATACCAAAAGAAAGGTAAAAGTGATTACCTTTAGGAGTTGCACTTAACCTCATGTTGACTGGATACTGTCTCCAGATAACAAATGTCATAGACAAAGAAGAATTTTCTGAGTAATATTTGTTTCCCTCCAGTCTGCCGAACCAACAATATGAATAAAAGAACCAGATCTATGTTTAATTAGATTTCAAATATGCTTATTTACAAACTATAAATTTTAAAGCTAGCTCCATATTATTTATTTTAGCTACCTGTAAAGCAATCTGCAGAACAAGGCATGTTGCTTAAACATTTACTTCTTAATGCAACTACGATAATAAATGTAGATTTTTTTTTACTTTTTTCAAAGGAATCAAAAAGTTTAGGCAGGGAAATGTGACAAAATAGGTGCATTTCTTCAACACTTGTTTTGGCTAGTATTACGTATCAAATGCTTAAAACTGATTGATTTTGTGTATGAGCATATGATACATTACTTGTAACAGTCATAATTGAAGGTACAAAAACTACGATAATGTGTGAATTAGGTAAAAAAGAACCTGTCAAAGCTGTGAAAAAGATGAGTGCACTGATTTGCAATACCAGAAAATCATAAATTAGGCTAAATATCATTAATTAAAGCCAAGAAATATGATAACTTACGATTAGAACCAAGTGCATTATACGTATAACTTAGATCGAGTATAACTTTTCCAAGTAGTTAACTTTTAAAAGTTTTAAGTTTAAATTCACTACAGTATGTGTGTGCTACAAAACGATAATAGGGGAACACAGTTTACTAACAAAATCAGCCTTCAAGGTAGAAGATATAAATACCCAATTTTCGAATTCCTAGTGGTTTTTAAGACGAAATAGTAAAATAAGCACCTTAAAGTTCATCTTAAATCGAAACTTTTTTCTCAAATAATTTAGTTTCCAAGTACGCAAAGTTCTATTTATTTGTGATTTTAAGTTTATATCTTTCGGTGGGCAAGTTTAAACCAAACCAGTACTGACATGACAGGAGTCAGTCAACTGGTTCATGTACCTCTTGTGAAATTAATTTACCTATTGGGCATAAAATAGCATCAGGTAACTCGGCCCGTTTTACTACTCAATTATAAAACCACGAAACATCTAAAGCAGAAAAGTCAGGAAATTAAATTTATTTTTCTACAAAAAAATATATAGTATATAATATATATTATTCCATGAGATGAAGATTGCATTGATACTAACCAAACTAACAGACAAGAAATATTCCACATCATACCTTTCTGATTCAGCGCTTTTGGAAAAGTCTCCCATTACCTCAAACTTCTTTAGTAATTTACGACTCGTTCCATCATTAGCAGTTTTGGGGGAACTATGGCGACTGTCCCCACATATGTTAAAGTCACCAGATGAAACCAAGGAGTTATCAAAACAAGGTGAATCTTGGCGATACAGCAGAAAATTACAACTTACATATAGGGCTTAAATTCAGTTGGGTGATATCATTTATATTGACTCCATCAGAAACAATTATTGTCGAGTTCTTAATGTCAGGAGAAGCTATAATAAGTTAATCAGCTGCATAAAACCAATAGCCTACCAACAAGCTGATGCCAACTTTGTAGAGCTTCAATTGTATTTTCATTTAACACTAGAAAATAATTAGATAATAACCAGCTTACGAGTATGTCTGGGAACTTCTGGGCTACCATGTTCATCATTTTGTTTAGAGTCTAGCGAAATATTATCATAAATTTGAAAGAAGGCTATCCTACCAGTCATTGTTGGTAAACTCCCACGATGCGCAGAAATAAAATTTTTGTTCAACTGTTTGCAGAGATTTCAATATTCAATGCCCTTACCCGAAGATTCAGATTTATTGGTTGAGGATAGAAGGCTTGGAGCCTATGCTAATCGTTTTCTAGTAAATTTCTGTGGTTATCAAAACGCTTCTTGAGTGAATCAGTTGAGCTTGCAGACACTGCTTCTTCTGGAAATCAGTTCCAAGAGTTTATGAATAGGTGTGAGAACCAGTACTCAACATTTCAAAACTCTAATATCCAAAATCATTTTTATGAGCAAGTGTAAACCAAACTGATTTCTTTGTGCTGGCTTCTTGATTGTGAGGTAAAGGTTCCTGGTCTTCGGTAAAGTTCTGCGTAGTTCATCTCGTCACTCGATTGTCGTAAATTTGGTTGACTCCAAGAGGAGTGGTGCTGGGATTAATGAAATGTTGTTTGTAGTATACGGCGTGTTAAGACCGTGTTGCTACTGTGAATGGAGCTGGTCCTTTCACCAGTTATTCATCTGGTGTCGTCGACAAAAGAAAAGAGGCACTAATAATAACAGATATAATTAGAGTAAGTTATGCAGACTAAAAGACAGAAAAAGAAATAAAGAAAACGTAAGAGTAGACAGCTAATAAAATTTGAAGTATATATATGTTTATGTTTATATGTACGTAATACCGCTAATAGTAATAACAATAGTGTAAGGGACGCAATAGTTGGATTAGTCAGGAGAGTAAGACAAGCGAGAATGTAAAGAAGTAAAACGGGGAGTTTAGATGTCTCTCCCTTAATAGTGTATGGGACTTTAAGTGGATAGGCCATTTTGACGCAGTCATTGTGTCACTGCGTGGCCATCCAGCCTTCGTGTAAGGCTGTCCATGGACGATGCCGCAGCTACATCTGGCGGTAAGGAGTTCCAGGGACGGCAAACACGCAGTGAAAAGAAGTGGGAGCGCACTTGAGTCCTTGCCCTCTGGTGAGCTATCCTTCTTGGATTTCCACGGGGAAGCCCATGCCTACTTAATGTCAGAACACCTTTGTTTAGGTGATTCTGGACATTTTTTATCTTATAGGCAGTAATCAAGCTCCCCCTAAGCCTATGGTGGATGAGTGTGAAGAGGTCTAAATTCCTTTAGCCGTTCACCATACGGTTTGCTTCGGAGACCCGTCGCCCGTCTTTGGACTCTTTTCAGAAGGTCCACGTCTCTTCCAATCAGTAAGGTTGCTGTGATATTGTGCACTTCGAGGTGTGGTCTTGCGTATGTTTTGTACAACCTTAGAAAGAGCTCGGGAGTGAGTGCACCTAACTGTCTATGTATAAAGTGTATGACTGCATATGCCCTCACTACATCCCCCGTGCAATTCATGGTTGTGTCCATTTTTCCGTTAGAACTAGACCTAAGTCACTCACCGACGTTGTGCAGGACGAGCTTCCTTTGCTCAGAGTGGAACTTGCATTATGCAGGCTACGGGTGTCTTTAAGTCTATTACTAGATCCGCTACAGGTATGTAAGCAGTGACTTGGTAAAGATTAGGCTGACAGTAGTTAGATGTTAGAAGGCCTAATTCCTTCAATATTTCATAGTCTGATTTATTTCGGTGGCCCGTGACGCCGATTTCCGCGAAAATGTGGGATGTTTCAAAGAAGACTGTCACTTTTTCAGCAAGTCCTTGCAATAATACTATGCACTTCAAAGTGTGGTCGTCTACACGTCACATACATTCTCAAAAGTGCTTAGGTGTGAGTGCCTCAATGCTTATTCGTGATGTGTGTTACCGAGTGCGTAGACTTGGTGATTTGCCAATACATCCCTCCCAGGACCTTAAGTTTAATATTGAGCCCTCAAATATCAAGCCTGTATTACATACATCGTTTTAAACTTCTGTACAAATTACACAATTGGCTGTTCACATTGGATCAGTTTACATTCGTACTTGAATGCTAATGCTGGTTAAAAGCTAGACACCCTGCATTCAGTCGTTGTACCCTCAAAACCGATTACCCCATAAACACAAAATTAAAGGTTTGTACAATGATTACTGCATATACTGAGGTACGGTATATCATCCAGTATGAGAAATACTTTGTAACTTCTCTCTGGATGTCATCCCGGAGAGTAATCATACTCCGATCCGTCAGTATATTTTTTGACTGATATACATACGGGGGGACGAAATTCATTAAATATCTCAAAAAATACTTGCTCAGCAGGCCAGAGCAAATTCAAGATGGCATTATTACAGCTACTGCACAAATAACTCCCAACAAAGAAAAGCGCTCTCAGACTTGAAACAAAATCTAAACCAAAACCAAATCATCCAAAGAAGATATCCATTTAAAATCGAAAGTGTTGAAGATATTGCAAGATTTCTTGTTTTATTCAAGAAACATTTCATTTGAAAAGTCAAATTAAAAATTTCCAATGTGTAATAATCAATAAGGCTGGGTAGGAAGCACATAATAAGACAAAATTACTCAGAAGAGGCTTTAGAAGTGAAAATAAAAAGTTGTAAATTATGTAGTACTCGACGCCACGAAGGTAAAAGAGTTGGAAATTTGATAAGGTTAAAATTGTTATTTAGTGAGAATAAAGATAGTTGAGTGTCAATTTAACAAGGGGGAAGAGAGTGTGAAAATGTACAAAAGGAACACGTGAGAGTAATAATAGCGAGTTAATTACTAAAGTTAAAGCAAACTAAAAAGCGAAATTGAAAATAAAAAAAATTAATAAATTTATTTGACGGGGAATGACCAGTGAAGAGGTTAAGACCATGGTAGAATAAGAGACTAGACAAACGTTTTCTGTTATAATAACCGTACGGGTCCACATCTCAAGTAAACATATGTTGGCATCATCCAACTAGAATCGCAGTGTTTCGCATTTTTGACGCCTGCATCCTTGCCATCTCACTGTTCTCTTATTTACAGATGACATAGTCTCTGTGATCAAGTATGGCAAGCCGTACCACTTTGCAGATGATCTCAAGATAGTATATGATTACGGGTACCACTATATGAGCTTCGAAAGCAAAATCCTATATGACTTAAACAATCTAGGCGATTGGAGCGAAAAGTGGCAACTGACTTTCAACCTAGAGAAGTGCGGTATAGCCCGCCTTGGACGCTGGAAACCGAGAATTCGCCTATGTATGTACGGTAAGCTCCTCTCAAAACTGAACACAGTCACAGATCTCGAGATAACATACTCAGATTTAACCTTTTCCGGTCCTGAAAATAAGGTTGTATCTGACTGTAAACGACTTGCTGACTTTGTACTGCGTAACTTCTACACCCAAGAGGCAAGATCACCTATATACAGAACATGTATCCGCCCCAAACTTGAATATTGTGCTCCCCTATATAGTAACCTAAGGTCTTCAGACCGAAAAAAATCGAAAGTGTTAAGAGATTCCTAACGAAACGCATAATAGGGTTTCACCAACAAGTGGAATATGCTGACAGGTGTATGCATCTGAAATTAGAACCTCTGTGGTTGAGGAGAGTGAAGTGCAATTTATTTATACTCTTCAAAGTCACTAGGAAGCATTATTATAGTAACTCAACCATAACGTGGGAAATATCAAATCATATCAGCTGCGAAACCACGACTACCTTGTCAAGGTGGGTGCTCACAGAAAATCCATTGGGGCAACCTTTTTCACCATTAAATGTTGCACTCTTCGGAACCAACTACCATCTGAAATTAGATGTTGTGAAAACCCCGGTTGGTTCAAAAGGAGCCTAAAAAGATATATCAACATGTCCACCCTAGCTTGTCTAAAAGACCACAACTGTTGGTAAAATGGTAAATGAAAACCAGTCCAGTCTTCAGTATAGTCAGTTGTATATAACTCGACTCTGCTACTTACGCAGCGAACGTTTAACTAATTTACTGATTTTCCCTTCTGTACAGTCTTCAATAAGTTATGTTAGTATAAGTATTTCTAGAAACAATTATATTGGCAACCACACAATTTGATATTTACATATGTATATACAGTTAATAATGCAATGCTATTTTTTGTCTAAATGACTTTAGACAGCCAATAACTACCTTTTCTCATAAACTTTTCTAAAACGTATAATTTTTATATTATCATAATATTTCGCAAATTTTTAACACTAAATAAGTTGAAGAGTTACTTTGCAATGTCTATTGCGTACCGTATGAAAATCGGTCATGAAAATTTAGCATAACTAGCTCTGTTAACCGGCTGTTTTCTTCAGGATCATTATAAATAATTTTATCACTAATTGTTCCACTACACATTTTACTTTGCTAAATGGACTACAACTTAGTTGCTGTAATACTAGCTACTTCTCTACTTTATACTTCTTAAACGCAAATTCCTAGGCGTTTGTAAAAATACTTGTATACATGTATGCATGTATAAAGGTGATACTACTAAGAATATCCTCAGGTATCGATGTATCTGATGACCTAATGGGAAGCGCTTGTCCTGAAAGCTATTAATGTGCAGCATACTGTATGATTGGGACGGGCTCAAAGCAATTATTATGATTATTATTGTATCCTTTAATTCCTACAGGGACATGGGGCTTCAGCCGTGCAACTCCATTGTATTCGGTTCTCTGCTAGAGTCTTCACCTGGCTCCATGTCTGCCCATATGCTTTCATCTCCTCTTCACATGACCTCCTCCAAGTCACCCTTGCACTGACGACCAACTCGCCGCTTCCCATTCGGGTTCCACTCAAGGGCTTGTCTAGTGATGTTACTTGATGGTTTCCTTAGAGCATGACCAATCCATCTCCATTTCTTCCTACCTATTTGTTTCACAATCGGTTCCTGGTTGGCTCGCTCCCAAAGATCTCTATTGCTGATCTTTTCTGGCCATCTGATCTTGAGTATTGAGCGAAGACAACTGTTAGTGAAGGTCTGTAGTTTGTTTGAGATGCGCTTTATGACGCGCAACTGCAACTACAGTTTGCAAAAAATCTAAGAGCTTAACATCAAAAAAGGAGGGAGGGT